GTGTGCTCTTCCGATCTCCCCAAAACCCCAAAACCCCATGAGATAATTTTAAATATGTAGATCAATTGAATTTATAAAATAAAGATAGATATTCATAACTCATTGGTAATTTAATAAATCAAAAGCAAACTAAAGTGAATAATAATAATTATCAAGATTATCTTTATCTTTTCTAAGTAGCCATTTAGGCTTATTTGAGTATTTGCTGATCACTTAAAACCTTTAATATGAGATCAGGAGTTATAAAAGTAATCTAAGATATATCATTAAAAGTGCCTATTGCATTGCATTAGGATTTAACTACTTTCACTTTCCCCTTGGATTATTAATTGATACTATTTTTCTTTTGTTTTTGCTTTTTAATCTCTATAATTTTGAAAATCTTAAGAAGAATATCTCTAACCTATTCTGCCTTTTTGATCTCCATAAATATACAGCAAGAGATCTAATTAAGTTTTACCAATAAATCACCTTCCCTGATATCAGGAGGAATATTACCGAATAACTAATCATAATTTGACTTTAAGCCATGCTTTAAAGCATCTGTATTTGAGCTTATTGGCTGTAGGATCAGCTTGCCTATTGAATTAAATATTTCTAGCAATTAACCCTCGCTGCTATTTGAAAAGAGAAATTCTCTTTTTTAAACAATAGTCTTAATATCCTATAACTAGTTTATCTCATCTATTTACAGATGAGTATAGGTGAAATCAAAACTGTATTCATGATAGAAATCTTATAGTTGCATGAAATTTTCAATGCTTTCAACACTGCTGTATGCTTTTCTTAGGAAATCTATCACTTTAAAGTAAAATATACGCTTATATCTCTCCAACTTAGATAAGTTCAAATTTAAAGGAGATTCCTGAATATTATAGTATGATCTCTGCTAAGTTTTACCAATATTCTGTGCTTTTTATTAAATTTGAGAATAATTCAAGAGATTTTTTTCTCTCATAAGCTCTTTATTAGTATTTTAATTGCATTAGATGTCGTCTCTAAGCAGGAGTAACGATTCATAAGGGATAATTTAGATGAAGTCATAGTCTTGAATTATAATTATCCTTTGTCGTTTATTGCTAACAATATCATTAAAAATCTTAACTAGCATATCCATCTTGTTTTACTATAGTTATTGTTTTGATAAGCATTAGTTAATTTGTAGATGGAAGAATATTCTTGCCTTAATCTGGCATTCTAATTCATACAATAAATGGTACTAATTAATTAGCAGCAAGTACTCTTCTAAATTCAATGATGTTTTAATGACTAGGCAATCAGGAACTGAGTAGATCTTGGCATTTTTTTATTAGTCTAATTTAAGAACTGTTACATTATTTATCTTTCCTATAACTTCTTTTACAGGATGATAACTATGACTTTTCAAGCAATCAAAATTATGAATTTTTCCCTAGTCGTTAAAACAGTAGCACTTTTTAATATCACTTTGAATTATCTTATTATTTAAATCTTACTCGCATTTAATTAATTTCTTGTAGTCAGTCAGTCTCACATACAGACACTGTTTTTCAGGAATATAGATATTTTTTTCCTCAACATCAAAATCCTCTTATTGATGAGATGAAATATCATAAGTAGATTCATTCATTTTCTTCTAGTAATTATTCATATTTGCTTAGCTTAATAGAATATTGAATAAAAATACTGAATCATCGACTGTTTTTTCAATTGCCTTATAATCTATTCTATCATTCCTAATTTAGAGCTTAAGAGGGGAATTTTGAAATATAAATTAATCAAAGACTCTCTTCTTTTTTTCAATCGATTTAATGTTTCTAATTTCATCTTACAGTCTAATTAAGAATTAGGCTTCAGAAATCTCAAGTAACTTGTTAGTAAAGAAATCAGCAAACTTGATAGCTCTTAAAAGACATCTATATATTTTTATTAATATGATTTAATATTTTACTCATAAGTTGGAAATCTTTTAGAGAGTTTTAGTTACTTGTGTTAAATTACCATTTTAATCTTTTACTTGTTCAGAGTAACATCAAAATCAGATTTACATATGTCTAAGATATCTTAATGCTAAAAAATGTAAGCATCCTAAATGGTATTTGTTGGAATGCTATCTCTTTGAAGTATCAAGATACTTTTGATTATTCTTTAAGTAAACTTTATATCTTTATCTATTTTTTCTATATTTAATGTTCCTTCAGTTGAAATATATTCGCTTTTAGTCAGGAATTCACAAAATTATTTTAATACGTCATCGATTGAACTTTTCTAATCAATATGTACCTTGGATTAGTATTTGAGATATTAGAAGTATTTAAATTTCTCTGGCAAAGTTAGCTTTGAAATATGATAGTCCCCAAAGAAAGTACTATAAGTTTTGACTAAAAATTTAGGATGCTATGTGCATTCAACATTCTTTAATTAGAAGTTTTTATCAAAGTATTCCATGAATTATTTCACTGAATAGGGAGTGTTATCTAGCATTTCATTGGAATTTTCTAAGACCTTTTAATCTAATTTCACATATTTTATGAACTCTGAAGAGTCAATGAGGAATCTGCAATCAAGCTGAGATGAATTGTTTTGATTAAGAAAATTTATTATCTATTAACTGTTATTTACTCTAAGATAAATGTAGCTATTTTTCATGTCTAAAGATTCAAAAATCTCATAAAAATTGAATGGTTAACCCTAGTCTCTCAAATCAAAATATTTAAGTAGTGGGAATTCTCCTTTTATTGTCTCATCTTGATATAGATTTATGTCTTTAAGTATTTCGTATTATAGATTAAGATTTTCAGCACTTATTTCTTCATTTATAAGATGACCTTCTGTATTGCTCAAGTTGTTAATGAACTTGAAGATATTTTCAACAAAGATTTAATATATTTTGTCATCTTAGTTTTCAGCTAATTTTGTATCATTAAGCTGATTTTAGCCTATTTAAGAAAGATTTTCTGGATTATTTGTTTCGAAATTTCTACCAGATGACTGTTGATTATGCTCTTCTTGGATTTTTTATAGGATTTCGTCAAACTTCTTCCTACAATATAAATTATCCTCGACATCTATCATCATGTAAGCTGCATTGTAATAATTAAATCTCTTTTAGCATATTTTCATAATTAAATTCTTGATTGACTCAGTGGAAGTATTAGTATTTGCTGAATCATAAAATATTAGTTTGCTCTATTTTTATTGCAACTGCCTCTCTAATTGTTCCTTATTGAAATTTAATTTTTCTTTTAGTAGTTAAGATGATGTTTTAAACATTAGTTTGTCAGAGTAGAGAAATAGCAAAATGTCACTATACTTGTGAATAACGTTTTCTCTAAGTTTATCTTAGCTATATTCAACATTCATTTTAAAATGAGTATTTATTTTTAAATCAGTTTCTTATTCTTATTCGTCCATTAAGTGTGAGTATCAGAAAGCTCTTCTACTTAAGGAGACTCTATAGACTTATTTTTATAGTTTATAAATTCCATTATCAAAAAAGTGATTAATTTTCAAGTAAATAAAAGGATTTAATTACTTTATTATAGCATTATATCTTAAAATCCAATTTGCAATATTATTTCAAATGAATCGCAGTGGGGTTTTGGGGTTTTGGGGTTTTGGGG